GTTCTAGTCATGCAAATCGCCCAAACAGTAGCATCATTAAGTTCTTTAAGTGTTCGGGAGTCCCACACATCTCTTAGTGCCTGAATAGAAAGCTTGTGAACCTTTCAAAGGAGTTCCTTGAAGAGGACAACAAGCTATCTTTTAATGGAAACCATGTTTGTGATGAATCTGAAGTAAAAGAGCCAGTTAGTAACCAAGGGGAAGCTTTAATGATCCGATGCAGCATGATTACATGCCGAGTAGTAGGCGATGCAGGTTGGTTAAACCCCAAGAATTTCGCCTTAATCTGCCTCTAAAATCAGCAAGTTGTTGATTGGAACTCTCCACCGGTCTTCGATGAGTGTTAACATTAAGAAGGTAGTGACCAAATTTTTATCAAGAACTGGGTGGAAACAAGGAAGCTGACAGTGGTCAAGATGAAGATGAAGTTTTGGAAGAGGAAGTTGCTGAATGGATTAGTGAACAAGAGGTTGGAGATGATCATCTTGAAGACACTCCATTGGTTTTCTAGGCAAAACCAAGGTAATTTCAGCAGGTTTTAAGAGCTGTATTGATGCAATTTCAGCTAGGTAATGTGACTAAACAAAGTGTAAATATCGTGGTCATTCCATCAAAATATAAGAGTCCTTTTATCGAGGGGAAATCATAAGTATTTATGGATATATCAATTGATTGCAAAAATTCATTTTCATTGCACAACCATTGTGCTTTGATTAGTTCAATAACTCACAAGTCCTAGTGTTTTTAAGTATTCTGATTGAAAGAGGTTATAGGACTAATACAAAATTGTTTTAACTTATTTCGAAACTTGAGGGCAAGTTTTCTCCAACTAGGGGAAAATGATGCAAAACAGGAAGTGTTTTATTTTTCAATCCTTATTAAATTTTTAAGGATGCATTTTTGGAATTGTCTAGGTTTTTTACGGGTTTTAAATTTTTTTAGGGATTATAGAATTTAAAGATTTAGGAGATATTTAAAGAAATAGTTAAAATATTTCTGGAATTACTAGTTTTATTAGGGGTAAAAGCGTCATTACAAATTTTGTTTTAAGTGAATGGACTTG